GCTTTTGTCTGAAACAGCTTAAAATTGCTCTATAGATGATAAATACTGCAGAGAGACACTGAAGTAGCCATCTCGTATATGGCAGGGCCATGTTTATAATCATGTTAATTAAAGGGCCTTTATTAGACCACAGGGACCACCAGTATAGATCCCAGTACTCATCCTACCAGGTTACCCCAGGTCATAGAATCACAGAATGGTTTGGGTTGGAAGGGACCTCAAAGACCATCGAGTTCCAACCCCCCTGCCATGGGCAGGGACACCCTCCACTAGACCAGGTTGCTCAAAGCCTCATCCAGCCTGGCCTTGAACCCCTCCAGGGATGGGGCATCCACAGCTTCTCTGGGCAACCTGTTCCAGTGTCTCACCGCCCTCACAGTAAAAAATTTGTTCCTAATATCCAATCTAAATCTACCCTCTTTCAGCTTAAAACCATTATCCCTCGTACTATCACTATGCTACCTGATACAGAGTGTCTCCCCATCTCTGCTGTAAGGCCCCCTTCAGGTACTGGAAGGCTGCTATAAGGTCTCCCCAGAACAACCCCAACTCTCAGCCTGTCCTTGTACAGGAGGTGCTCCAGCCCCCGGTCGTCTTTGTGGCCCTCCTCTGAACCCATACAGGTCCTCAGGAGAGCTGAGCAAAGAACAAATCACAGGGAGCAAAGCACAGCAAAGCACCATCGCTGCTACCTGCACAGATTCTGGCACCTCCTCGTAAATTATCTTTATGCTACGAAAGTATGAAAGCTAGTAGTGAAAAAGTAAATCAGACAGTTGTTAAAAAGGCTACGAAATTCTCATATTTGTTGAGTTTAGAGATTTTGCACAATAAGAACAGAACTATCTGAGCTTTCCCAAAAAAAAAGCTTTTTTTTATCATGCAGAAAAAAGACAAACGAGTCTTAGAATGAGCTTACTGCCTCTTTCCCCCCTCCAGTATTCCTCTAAAATGACAAAAATGTATTTTTCTTCACTTTAACTGGAAACATGTTAACCATATGCAGCTGCTATTATATTTAAAATTCCTCCAGCCAAGACTAACATATTTAGCAGACCAGAAAGATAAGAGAGAAGACATTCTTCAGGCATCCAAAAAATGCCCTGCCCAACTTAAAAGCTACTTTGATAATATAGTTTTAAGGATTAAAAGATCTAATAGAACCCCTGAAGAATAATAATCATAATAAAAGAACACTTAAAAGAATGTCTAGAAGAGAAAAACCTCAGCTACATGCCTTGAAAATGAAGGAAATTTAAAGTCAAGGTTTCACTTTTTGAAAACAAACATTGAGTATATGGAAATGTAATTTTCACTTTGCAAACATTTGTCAGGCCATAACCCCTCTCTAGAAGCATGCAGTGACTGGATAAATCTTGGATGCCTTAGGTGTGTGATGTTGCCCACATTGGATTTTATGCACAAGAAAAACACAATTGTTAATATTCTGTCTCAGTGCAGCCAAAGGCTTATCCTCCTCAGCAGGAGTTGCGGAACAGCCATCTTAAGACTCTAGACAAAACTTTCATTAATACCATTAAGAGATGGAAATAGCTGAAAAAAACAGCAACTCAATTGGATCTGATCTTCTGCCACTGCCTTAAACTTCTCCTAGGTATTAGAGAGCAAAAAAACACCCCAGCACCCCAACTCCTAGTCTTCAGAATTCAGCATCTGCCTGTCTTCAGCTGTAACAGGCAGATATGGCCTGAAGCCACACAATTTTTATGGTGGCCCAAAAACACCATTAGAGAGTTAAGTCCAGTGTCTCACTGGCTTCTGCAACATTTTAGCAGGTTGTCTGTTAAATTATCAGTGCTTTCAGTGTTGCAAATTTTCTTTTGCAACTCCCGCTGATGTAAGCTTTAAGTACAGGTGTACTGAACAGGCACCCTCTGATCAGTTTGAGTGCAGAAGTACAATAGTGTCTAATGAAAAAGTAAGGAAACGGAAGTCCTTACCAACTATTATTTCTTAACAAAGTGTCCTACACAGAAGTTTCAGTTTCACCTTGGCAGTTTCGTAGTCTTGGCTGTACCATCTTCAAATGTGAAAAATGTTTTAAGTTAATTCACAGAATCATAGAATAGTTAGGGTTGGAAAGGACCTTAAATATCATTGAGTTCCGGCCCCCCTGCCACGGGCAGGGACACCTCCCACTAGCCCAGGTTGCTCAAAGCCTCATCCAGCCTGGCCTTGAACCCCTCCAGGGATGGGGCATCCACAGCTGCTCTGGGCAACCTGGGCCACTGCCTCACCACCCTCATAGTGAAAAATTTCTTCCTCCTATCTCGCCTAAATCTACCATCTTTCAGCTTAAAACTGTTACCCCTCATCCCATCACTACACTCCCTGATCAAGAGTGCCTCCCCATCTCTCCTGTAGTCCCTATGAAGTACTGGAAGCTGCTCTAAGGCTTCCCCAGAGCCTTCTCTTCTCCAGGCTGAACAACCCCAACTCTCTCAGCCTGTCCTTGTATGGGAAGCGCTCCAGCCCTCTGATTATCTTCATGGCCTCCTCTGGACCTGCTCCAACAGATCCATGTCTTTTTTTATATTGGGGGCTCCAGAGCTGGACGCAGTACTCCAGGTGGGGTCTAGTGAGAGGGGAGAAGAAAAGGAGAATCCCCCTCTCTTGACCTCCTAGTCACGCTTCTTTTGATGCAGCCCAGGACACGGTTGGCTTTCTGTGCTACAGGTACACATTGCCGGGTCACGTTCAACTTCTCATCGACCAACACCCCCAAATCCTTCCCAGGGCTGCTCTCAAATCCATTCCTCACCCAGCCTGTATCTGTGCTTGAGACTACCCCCACCCACATGCAGCACCTTGCACTTGGCCTTGTTGAATTTCAGGAGGTTTGCACGGTCCCACCTCTCCAGCCTGTCCAGGTCCCTCTGGATGGCATCCCTTCCCTCCAGCATGCCGACTGCACCACACAGCTTGGTACTGTCCACAAACTTGCTGAGGGTGCACTTGATCCTGCTGTCTACGTCAAATGTGTTAAACACCACTGGTCCCAGTACCGACCCCTGCGGAACACCACTTGTCACTGGTCTCCACTTGGACATTGAGCCATTGACCACAACTCTTTTGAGCATGACCATCCAGCCAATTCCCTATCCACTGAGTGGTCCCTTTGTCAAATCCATGTCTCTCCAATATACAAAGATGTCATGTGAGACAGAGTCAAATGCTCTGCACAAGTCCAGGTAGATGGTGTCAGTTGCGTTTCCCTTATCCACCAAGTTTTTAACCCCATCATAGAAAGCCAAATTTGTCAGATACAATTTGCCCTTAGTGACTCCATGTTGGCTGTCACCAATCACCTCCTCACTTCCCATGTGCCTCAGGAGAATCTCCAGGACAATCTGCTCCATGATCTTGCCAGGCACAGAGGTGACACTGACCCGCCTGTAGTTCCCCAGGTCTTCCTTTTCTGCTTTCTTAAAAATGGGGGTTATATTTCCCCTTTTCCAGCCAGCAGGAACTTCAGAGTGCCATGACTTCTCAAATACAATGGATAGTGTCTTAGCAACTTGATCCACCACAGTTTCCTCAGGACCCGTGGATACATGTCATCAGGTTCCTTAGATGGTCTCAAACCTGATCTTCTCCTACAGTGGGAAGTTCTTAATTTCCCAAGACCCTGCCTTCGCCTTCTCCAACTTGGGTAGTGTGGCTTAAGCACTTGTTGGTGAAGACCAATGCAAAGAAGTCATTGAGTACCTCAGCCTTCTCCATATCCTGGGTAACCAGGTCTCCTGCTTCCTTCCGGAAAGGGCCCTCATTTTCCCTAGTCTTCCTTTTATCACCAACATACCTATAGAAGCTTTTCTTGTTGCCCTCAACATCCCTGGCCAGATTTAATTGACAGGGCTTTAGCTTTCCTAAACTGATCCCTGGCTGCTTGGACAATGTCTCTGTATTCCCCTCAGGCTACCTGTCCCTGCTTCCATCCTCTGTAGGCTTCCTTTCTGTGTTTGTCCAGAAGCTCCTTCTTCATCCACGCAGGTCTCCTGGCATTTTTGCCTGACTTCCTCTTTGTGGGGATCCATCACTCCTGAGCTTGGAGGAGGTGATCCCCAAATATTAAACAGCTTTTTTCTTGGGCCCCTCTTCCCTCCAGGGCTCTATCCTATGACACTCCACCAAGCAGATCCCTAAAGAGGCCATTAGAACTCTTTCAATTTTCTACAATATGCTTATAATTTCCACTGCTGCATATTTTTCAGTAGTGTAAAGCATGATCAGAATCTGTCCACACCTTTTTTTAAAGGAATTGTCCAAAATAAGAAATGCAAGCTATGAGCTTGTTTCCCTCAGCAGATCCCTTTGTAAACACAGAGACAGTGTCAGACTTGTATAGATAATCAAAACAATTACAGTTCATTTGAATACTATCAAATAGATCTTTTTTTCCATGACAGAATGAAAATACTGTGATAGGATGTATCCAATACCTTTATCTTAATGACAACTTGGTTTTTTTAAACAAGAAGAAACCCCAAACCACCCTGGAGAAACACAAACAATCTCTTCTCTAGCATAAAGAGTTTGAAAACTCCCCATAGGTAAATTTTCTTTCTGTGCTGGTCAGAATTCTCTCGCTAAACATCCTGTTAGATGCTATTTCTGCCTTGGAAGCTTTAGGCTATTCCACCAAGCCTAGGAAAGAAGCTAAAATTTTGATTTACTACTTTAAAACACAGAAGTTCAGAAACACAGATCTAAAACTTTGACTGTAACTCATTTAAAACTTAAATAACAATACAGCAGTTTTAGAATACACAA